TGAATGAATTGAACAAAAAATTAAAGAAAAAGAGTGATCTTCAAACTTGTGGAAGAACGAGCAAATTGTGCTCTGATACCATATTACATAGTAAAGATGAAATGGAGAAAAGAAATCTTCTCATTGAATTGAACTAACAGAAGATGAATTACATCTTCTACCTTTATACAAAAATCTAACCAAGCCAACTAACATCTAAGATGCTAACTAACATATTAGTAGAAATACTAATTTACCCCTGAACTGTTAACTTACACAACTAACAATAACAACTTTCTAACAACCTTTAATAGTTACAATTAGATCTTTTGATCGGTCATAAATAACACGCATATAAGATTTAATTGAGGAACGCACTTGTCAATGATAGTTAAGAATCTGAAATAAAACTACAACTTCATTTCAAAGATAAGAAAAAGCTTTTAAGTGTAATTTTTGTGATAATCAAACACAAACATCATGTTTCACAATAACATTCTACCATCAGGAAGGCATGTGAAATGGTGTGTTGCCCCTTAGACAAATGCAATGCTTCCACTGTCGTGACTAATTGTGATTGATCCTCTGTATATTGTCCATCCTAATAGAATTAAGAGGCTAAGAGTTTACCTCTTCTCTGAAAATATCCTAATATGCAATTTTACTCTCCGTGAGTTATTGTTGTAATCGATTAGATCATTTTTATGTATGGAGAATTTAAGTGCGTTATTCAATTCTCTTGAACTTAATTTATTTATCATCCTGTTACAACATTTTTATTTTTACTCCTTGTTATCATTGTTATCGATACAATAACTTATCAATAAATCTTTATAAATTTCTAGTTACAAGTGTATGAATTTTGTTATTAATCAAAAAGGAATTGCTATAAAAACCTTCATATTTGTCACAAATGTTCGTATTTATCTTAACTCCATTTTTATGTTCTTTAATCCTCTCATATTTGCAAAAAATATTAAGTTTTACCATTTTACCTGCGATAACAGATTTTTCAGATTACTACGATATTAAATTCATAAAAAACCTTCATATTTGCCAAAAATGTTCATTTTTAACATTTTATATTTTTATGCTAAATTTTTTTTATATCACATGTAAATTATGAGTTTTTTCTTATATAAAGACATATTTTTATGTTTTTTAAAAGTACAAATATATTTTTAGAAATATTAATGTGTATTTTAAAAATGTAAATATGTATTTTTCATATTTTTCTAAATGTATAAATATATTTATAGAAGTATAAACATTTTTTAAAAGTATAAATACATATTTTTACATATTTAGAAGTATAGAGACATATAAATATTTCTGTAAAAATATAAAATTATATATTTATACTTATAAAAACATACTTTTATGCTTTTAAAAAACATATATATTTATACTTATAAAAAGATACTTTTATGCTATTAAAAAACATACTTTTATATATTTTTTATCTATAAAATAAATATTTATACTTTTAAAAACATAATTTTATGCTTTAAACAGTATAACCACACAAAAACACATATATAATGGAATAACATTTAAAAAGAACATAAATTAAACATTTTTTCATATATAAATACGTTTTTTTTTCTACATGAACACATATAATATACATAAAAAAATACTTAAGTTAAAAACATAAAAGGGTAAAACCAAATAATTTTTTGACATATTTTAGCGTTTTTTCTTCCAAATTTAATATGATAGTAACTTGAAAACCTATTATTATAAGTAAAAGAGTGAAAACGAACATTTTTTCATGTAAATGTATTAATGAACATAAAACTAGAATTAAAATAAAACCGAACGTTTATTTATAAATATAAAGGTATTTATGACAATTTTTCTTAATTAAAATAATACATGGTTAGAACGTTTTTGTAACCAATCTCGACCTCAAACAAAAGAATACATAACCTATTGGCCCTTTTTTTAATAATTAGAAACAAACTAACTTTGTAAATAAAAATTTCTAAAAATTAACTTTAATCGAATTGGAATAAATTAAAGGAACCTTATTTGTCTTGGGTGATATTATTATTATTATTATTATTATTATTATTATTATTATTGTCTCGGGTTAATTACCATATAGAAATCTACAACTTAAGTTTTGTGTTCAAACTTGCACATTATTTCACTCGTTCCAACAATATTGTAGTTTACCTCTTTATACTAGTTTGAAAAATGGCAACGAAATTGTATCTTCAATTAATCGATTAAATATCGAATTATATCATTTTCTGATTAAATATCGAATTACATCATTTTCTTAAGTGATAGACACCTCATATACTTATATCATCTATCTCTTCTAATAAATCAAACTTAAAAATGGTATGTGTTAGTTTTTTAGAATGTATATTGGACATGTAACATTTTTTTTTATGATTTTTATGATTTTCTTTTTTTGTAACAAATCAAATTCAATTCAAATTTTGAAAATACAAAATTTTATCCTAATAACATTATTATGTTTATTTTGCTTAACAAATTAATTCATAATTACTTACAATCGATAATATCTTGGGTTTTTTTTTATATTTATTCTTTTTTATTTTTATAGAAATTTTAAATATAACAACCGTAGTTTCTACAGGTTATAACCTAGTTTTTAATAAATGAACATTTTTCTTGCCACTTGTCACACTCTGATTCAATTTGTCAAATGTCATTTAGTGATTATTTTGATTTAATTTTTTTTCCGCATGTTATTTTATGAGTTTTTCCATTTTATTAAATTCCACAAATATTTTAATATAATAATTGTAATAAACATAGTAATAAATGGATATTAATTTCATTTATAAACTCACATTTTAATTTAAAAATTTCCAAAATTAAAGTTCATTAGTTTTTTTCTTTATTTAAATTATTTGTTTAAATTTAAAAAATAAAAAACATTTCTATTATAATAATTCATTATTTTTCTTATTTTCTTATAAATTCTAAGTTTTTAAATATTTTAATATTTATATTTAACTTTTTTTTAAAATTAACTTATATAATACATAAGTCTCACAACTAATTATTAATATAACTATAGAATTATGCTCAAATAAAAATGAAAACAAAAATTAAAAACATAAGATTACGCGTTATAAAATACAACTTTTTTTTGTTTATTAAACTTTTAAAATACTATACTTATTTCATAAATGCTGATTGTATCATAATAAATAGTTAAATACAGATACATAATTTATTTAAATACGAATAATATTTGAGTTGTAATTATAATATGAAAGAATTATTTGTATATGAATAATATATATGAAAAAAAGTAATGTAAAAAAAATATAAAACAATTTATTAATATAAAAACAACATAAAAGTAGATGTCTATATTTGTATATTATGAGAATAAATATTCATAATTTTGAATATATTTTTTTGATAAAATAAAATATTAAAAGTTTTAAATGAAAAAAAAAAAAAAAATTCTCTCCCTTGGATATAAAAGTTATTTGGTCGAAATTTGTTTCCACGTCGATTATTTATTTTAGTTTTTCTTTGAACTTTCTATATAATTATAACCGTGTATATCGACAATATTATTTTCATCATGATATATTTCCTCTGTTTCAAATTATAGTTTATTTTTCCTTTTTGATTTATCCCAAGATAATAGTTCATTTCTAAAAATAAATAACATTTTTACCAAAATACTTCATTATTATTACTTAACCAACTAAGCATTTAATGAAACGTTAAATGCAAAATAGAGACAAAACTGTCATTTTATTTTATAAAGTTAGTGATAATTAATATTTTTCTTAATTTATATGTTTTTTTGTCTGTATACAATAATATTGAGATGGAGGGACTAGAATATTTGTTTATTAATTAAAAACATACTATCATTTTGGAGTAATCATCATCAATTTGGTTCATTAAAATGTTCATAATAATTTTTTAATTTAGATTATGTTTAAGCATATTAGTTTAAAAGTTGAAAAGTCTAGACAAAATTGCAAGAATGGTCCCTGTGGTATATCGAAAATTGTTATTTTGGGTCAAACAGGTTTGGATTAGCACTAAAGGTCAATAACGTTTCATTTTGTTGCAAGTTTGGTCAATTTTGGTTTGATTTTTTATAAAATGACGATTTTACCCCTTTCTATTTGTTTTTTGCTTTTCTTTTTTTATTTAATTGTTTTCCTAACTAAAAAATAAAAATAAAAAAAGAAGAGAATCTCTCTCTCACTCTCTCTCCCGCCCTCCCCCCTCTCTCTCTCCCTCTCTCTTTCTTTCTTTATCTCTCTCTCTCTCTCTCTCTCTCTCTCTTTCTCTCTCTCTCCAGCTATGAGAACGCCACCACCCTCACTTTTTCCCCCAAGCTTCCCTCTCACCAGATATATTAAACACCACCGGCATAAAAGATGAACGCCACGAGATCGAAGTTATGGCAGCGAAACCTTAACCCTAAAAGTTTCAGGCTACGACACACAGATCGAAGCTAGGGATTATAACAACAGCAACCTCTGAATACCCTAGGGTTTCAAAAAAAACGAGAATGGTGGCAGCCTCTGAAAACCTCAGGGTCTCATTATTTCCTTCTTCAAACTTGATTGAAGCTCACCTGAGGGTTGTTTGATGGAGCCAGGAGTATCGAGAAACAGTGGGGACGGTTTGAAATGGTGGTAGGGCTTGAGTTTTGTAAACATAACTGAAACCATCGTTTGCAAACCCTCGTTACCCATGAACTCTGGCAGTGCTAGGGATTATGTTATGTTCATCTTGTCGTTCTCAAGAGGCGGCCGTTCTGTTCTATGAGAGAGAAGAATAAGAAGAAGAAAAATGGCATTTCAGATCCGTGCGAGAGAGAGGGGGAGGGAGAAACTTTTTGGGTTTTGTGTGTCTGTGTTGGATCTGTTGAAAAATCGATGAATGTTTGTGTTGATTTGTTTATGTTTTTCTTCAGATTTCATGTGTTTGTGTGTTCATTTGATTTCGTGTATTTTTGTTCATCTGTGGGTGGTGGCGAAAGGTGGTGGTGGCAGACTATGGTGGTGGTTGCCGGAAAATCCGGCTGGTGTTGGTGGTTACCGAAAAATCCGACTGGTGCTAGTGGTTGCTGGAAAATCCCTTGTTCTTTGAACTCATTTGATGGAGGTGGTAGAATGTGAAGAGGAGTTAGAATAAGAAGAGGTTGTAGAAGTTGAGATAGAGAGAGAAAAAGAAAGAGAGAGAGAGAGAGAGAGAGAGAGAGAGAGAGAGGAGAGGAGAGAGAGAGGCAAGCAGGCAGGGAGGGGGAGAGAGAGAGAGAGAGAGAGAGAGAGAGAGAGAAATTTTATATTATTTTATTTTTTAGTTAGAAAATAATTAACTAACAAAAAGAAAAATCAAAAAACAAATGTTAAGGAGCAAAGCCGTCATTTTTAGATTTTTTAAACTGATTTGGACCAAAACCGTAGCAAAATGAAAACTTTTGGACTATTAGTGCTAGTCCAAACTTGTTTGGCCAAAAGTATCAATTTTGGACATACCCCAATGACCATTCTTGCAATTTTGTCAAAAATCTATTTAATAGTTGAAAAACTAACTGTTAAAAAATAATATTTAATAAAAATTAGTTCATAAACTAGATAAAAAATAGAAATGACATATGTAGAAAAATATAAAATAATAAATTACTGAAATAGTCCCTATGGTTTGGCTAACGTTGTGTGTTTGGTCCCTATTTTTTGTTTTGTACTCAGACCATCCTCACGTTTTCTTTTTATTACCCGCCTGGTCCCTGAGTCCGTTAGTCATCAATTCCAAATGTTAAGTCCCCCACGTGCTTCGCACATGAGGGTTATTTTCATCATTTTATACATGGCGCCTAAATGCAATGTCAATCGTTTCTTTATTACGATCATTTTACGATCACATCCCTCTTTCTCTCTCTCTCTCTCTCTCTCTCTATCTCTCTCACACACACACTTAATTTGTAACTCATCAAAATCGAGTAGAAACCCTAACTAAACAAAATTCTGCAAGAATCATCGAAGCAATAATGGTGGGTTGGAGGATTAGAGCAAACATGAAAGAAATAGTCGTTGAAAAACATTACGTTAACCCTTTATTTCAAAAGTTAAATTTATCACTTAAAACTTTGAAGCTAATAAGTTGAAGCTTTCTCTTTTACAGCTGGTCATCCAACTATCTTCATCAAATTATTCTATGGTGGAGAGTTTATGAAGTTTCCTGGAAGAGGTACATCAAGGGAAAAGAAAGATACGCTGATCTATTGGACATTGATGAGTTTTGTGTGCACAATATTGATGAGATGATGGAGACTCTAGGCTGTGTTGAGGAGGGTAAGTTGCTTTATTACCACTTCAAAAGACCCTTTCAAATTTGGACTTTGGGTTGTTTGCATTGGCTAGTGAGAGTGATATTAACCATTTGGGTAAACATAAACTGATTGAAGTTGATGTTGAACATGGTAAAAAATTGTTGCATACACAAACAACGCCATCTACCCTAGTAAAGTTAGGATATAAGAAATCGTTGATCAACCTTCGTGTAGTAGAAGACTATTTTTGGAATAGAAGGAAACTGAAATAGGGGATTGTATTGGATCAAGTAAATCAGATGTTGTGCCAACAAAATAAACTGAAAGTGACCAAATCGATGCCCAATGTGAAACACAAGGTATATTTGATGAATTTGATGAAATTCTAAATGAAGAACCTAGAGGGATTACTCATGAAAGTGACATTAGAGATGATGTTGATGATAGTGATGATAGTGATGATAGTGATGATAGTGAGTTCTTAGTAGACTTAGATAACCTCCTAGATGAACCTGATATAGACATGAATGAGTTTTTGTTAAATATTGAATGAAGATATAGAGTGGGTGGGTGATCTTGGAGGGTCAAATGTCAAGGAAACAGAAACAAGGGAAATTGATGATATTGAGGTTGTAAACAATGAGGTATTCTTATATGGGTCATCATCTAATGAAGGTGGGAGCAACAGGAGAAGCAAGTTAATTAAGGCAATTCGGAGGCCAATGGAAAACAGTGAAGCAAGAGTTAGTGATGCATTCTATGTGTACCAAAAATTCACCTCATCTGAAGAATTGAAAGATGCAATAAGAAAACATGTTGTGGAAACAATGAGGGAACTAGACTTCATAAAAATGAGAAGAACATAGTGAGAGCTATTTGTAAAGGTACTATCCCAGACCTTGGTCAACTTGACCCATGTGGGCCTAGTCAAAGCAATAAAGAAAGTGAAGAAAAGAAGTGTCCATGGGTACTTTATGCTAGCAAGTGGGAACAAGATGTTGACTGGGAGATCAAGACCTACGAAAAAGAGCATATATGTCTACAAACAAGAAATGTGAAAGCTTGTACCTACAAGTCCTTAGCAAAGAAAATAGTGCAGCAGATTGAAAGTAATCCTACAGTCCCTACACAAGATTTACAAGAACAAATTCAACGTGAATACCAAGTAGATATTTCAAAGATGAAGGTATTTAAGGCTAAAACAGAAGCATTGAATCAAGTAAGGGACGATTATGCAAGGCAATATACTACACTAAGATACTATGTTCAAGAACTTCGCACTCGAAACCCAGGGACAACAGTTAAGATAAAGGTCAAAAGTGAGCCAAACCTAGCTTCTGAGACTAGAACTTTCAAACGGATCTACATCTATCTAGGGCCATTAAAGAAAGGTTTTCTAGCTGGTAAAACATATTACCTTGGTTTGGATGGGACTTTTATGAAAGGGCCTTATCCTGGAATGATACTCACAGCATTGGTAAGATGTAAATACATATCTAATGGGTTTTATACGACAAAACATCTTATGTGCTCATATAAATCCTAAAGCTTGGATCTAGGTTTCTCTATTGTACATACAATTCATCCAAGACTTATGAACCCTAGATCTAACATACATATTTCGAGATTAACATATAAAAAAAGATCTAGATGATTACCTCTTCAAGAATGGCTTGAATCTCTTCAAGAATGCTTGAATCTTATTTCCCTGGAGCTTAGAGTCACAAATGTCACTCCTCTAATGGATTACAAACACCACAAGCAAGAGGATGATATTGGAAAGAGGGGAGGAGAACTAAAACCACCCAAGATCTGCTAAAGAACACTTAGCCACGTTTTTGGGAGCCCTAGGGGTCTATTTATACTTGTGTGGGCTGCTAGGGTTTCAGAAGAAACCCTCATACTCTGCTTAGGCCTTAAGCAACCCATGAAACTAATGGGTTTTAGCCATAAGAACTTTCCTATGTGCGCATGCAAAACCCTAATGCTTGGATCTAGGCTTTCTAATTAAACATGCTTTGAATCCAAGACTTCTAATGGCTAATTAGATTAAATAACAACATTGAAATAGATCTAGAATCATACGTTTGGATTCCTTGTTGATCTTGTTGTCTTGGAGCTTCTAGAGTCACAAATATCACTCTTTTAATGGCTTACAAACACCACTAGCAAGAAGGATGATTTAGGAGAGAGGAGAGGGGAGGAATTCGACCAGAGTATCTCTACTTTAGATGGTGTGTCGAATTCCCTCACCCCTAGGGTCTATTTATACTTGTAGACTCCTTAAGGATTACAGCTTTAACCCTAATTGGATAACTTAGACTTTAAGTTGATCCATATCCTTTCCTTGATAACCCTATGGACGATTTTGGCTTATCCAAGCCCTAGAAATCGTCCATCCTATCTTGGATAAGGATTTATAGTCTAAAGTGTAACTATCAAACAATTGACAGTTTATACCCTCTTATTTAATTAATCTCTTTAAGTCACCAAATTAATTCCAATTAATCTATGACTTATATTAATCAAATAACCATATATTATTCCTTATAATATTTACTCTCTCTTAACAAATCATCCATCAAGTTGCTATGGTGAAGGCAACCCAAAAGGACCATGCACAACCGGATCAAATACTTGCCTAATATAGTTGCAGCCTTAGACACTATTCCAACAGTCTCCCACTTGGATAAGTCTAGTAACTATACAAGTACAATTCGGTTTGCAATCGTAGCTCTCAAAGACGCTATCAAACTCTGATCTAATCAATCTTGTCCTTTAGATAAGGGATCGTACAGTCCTCTGTTAGATATCATGCTGACAATCCTATGGAATGGTTAGTCTAGCATTTGATTTCTCGATCTCCGATTTATTCGACATAGAACTTAATCAAACACATCAATTCAGTTCTGACCGGGCCCGGCACATAAGTCAAATCAAATCATCGAGTGGCCAAGATATCTCTTCTACCCTCTTAGGATAAAATTTACAGATAAACTTCGACTTATATGCATTTACTTATTCATTAACCAACTATACACAACAATGCGTTTTATAACACCAAGTTACTGATGCGTTTTCGCATTATCAATGTACAATCAATTAACAAATAATAAACCATATATCTAGGTTTTAAGACTATATGATATTATCGTCTTGCGATCACCTTTTATATCGTATTCCATAAAGTGATTCCAGCAAGCGCGGGTTTGTTCCAATGCTCAAAACCAGTTCATAAGCACTCATGAACGTTGCAGCAACCCTTGCTATGTCTAACACCATTTAGACAATCTACACACCAATTCATGACAATCTTCATTCATATCTACTTCCAACATATGAACGATTGTGGACAATTTGAATAATTCGATTATTCCTAATAAATCAATTATTCTGGAAGTCAAAACATGCAAAGTGAAACAATAGTTAAACAATTAACATATGACAGTAACTTTACTTATAAATAAAACTCCTTTATTTAATCATCAAATGTTAATTACATTTATCTATTATACGTTTCTAATACTATCTAATCTATACTAATATCATCCTTCAGCCCAATACTCCTAGCATGCTGCAAGTGCTTAACCCTACTCAGTCCCTTCGTAAGCGGATCTGCTGGGTTATCTTCTGATGATATCCTCTTAACTATGAGTTGTCCTTCTTCTACACGATGTCTAATGAAGTGATATTTTCTGTCGATATGTCGAGATCTACCATGATCCCTCGGTTCCTTGGTCAAGGCAACCGCACCTTCGTTATCACAGAAAATCTCCATGGGCTCCTTTATGGCAGGCACAACTCCAAGATCACCAATGAAGTTCTTTAGCCATATTGCCTCCTTCGACGCTTCGCTCGCTGCGATGTACTCTGATTCGCACGTTGAATCAGCTACGGTTTCTTGCTTGGAACTCTTCCAAGTTACTGCTCCTCCATTTAGGGTAAAGACCCAGCCCGACTGCGAACGGTAGTTGTCCCTATCGGTCTGAAAACTGGCATCACTATACCCTCGCACCTTCAAGTCATCACTCCCTCCAAGGACTAAGAACCATTCTTTCGTCCTCCGAAGGTACTTAAGGATGTTCTTCACCGCAATCCAATGTGCTTTGCCAGGGTTCCCTTGATATCTGCTAACCATGCTCAAAGCGAAGGCTACATCAGGGCGAGTACAAGTCATAGCGTACATGATTGAGCCAACTGCGGAAGCATATGGTATTCGGCTCATTTCTGCTATTTCAGCTTCAGTACTCGGACTTTGAGTCTTACTCAACTTGGCATTTCCTTGTATCGGTAGTTCTCCCTTCTTTGAGTTTTCCATACTAAAACGTTTTAGTACCTTCTCTAAGTAAGTATTCTGACTAAGTCCAATTAGTCTCTTACTTCTTTCTCTTACTATCCTTATTCCCAAAATGTAAGAAGCCTCTCCGAGGTCCTTCATAGCGAAACACTTCCCGAGCCAGGACTTGACTTCCTGCAGAGTCGGGATGTCGTTTCCTATGAGTAATATGTCATCGACATATAGAACGAGGAAGCTTACTATACTCCCACTGGCTTTGACATATACACAAGATTCGTCTTCGCTTCGTACAAATCCAAACTCTTTGACTTTCTCATCGAAGCAAAGATTCCATCTGCGAGACGCTTGCTTAAGTCCATAAATGGACTTCTCAAGCTTACACACTCTATTTGGATGCTTCGGATTCACAAACCCCTCTGGCTGAGCCATGTAAACATCCTCAGCCAACTTTCCGTTAAGGAAGGCGGTCTTGACATCCATTTGCCAAATTTCTCATAATCATGAAATGCGGCAATTGCTAGCTCACATACTCCTGGAGTTTGAGTAAAGCCCTTCGCAACCAATCGCGCTTTATACGTGTGTACGTTCCCATCCACGTCGGTCTTCTTCTTGAAGATCCACTTGCACCCAACGGTCTTACGTCCGGGCACATAATCAACCAAATTCCAAACTTGGTTATCGTACATGGATTGGATCTCGCTATCCATTGCCTCTTTCCATTTCGCAGACTCCGGGCCTGCCATGGCTTCCTTATAGCTATTAGGTTCATCAAGATTTACTAGTGTACCATCACTAATATACGTGTCCCCTTCGGTAGTAATATGAAAACCATAAAACTGGGGATGAACTCTAACTCTATCGGAACGTCTAAGAGGTAAGGATTCGTCAATCGGTTCAACCGGAGTTTCCTCCTCGGGTTGAATGCCAGCGGTAGAGGTTCCTTCATCTATCGACTCTTGAATCTCTTCAAGTTCGATTTGCCTCCCACTGTCTCCTTGGCTTATGAGTTCTCGCTCTCGGAAAACTCCTCTCCTCGCAACAAAGACAACATTGTCTTTCGGTCTATAGAAGAGATATCCAAAGGATGTCTGCGGGTAGCCGATGAAAATACATCGCTCACTTCGAGGTTCAAGCTTGTCGTGAGTATCTCGTCTTACGAAAGCCTCGCAACCCCAAACCTTGATATGTGCCAACGAGGGAGCTTTCCCCGTCCACATCTCGTGAGGTGTTTTGGCAACCTTCTTAGTAGGGACTCGGTTAAGGATATGGGCGGCAGTCTCTAAGGCATACCCCCAAAAGAAGATAGGTAGTGAAGCACGACTCATCATAGAGCGAACCATATCCAATAAGGTTCGATTACGCCTTTCTGCCACACCATTCAACTGCGGTGTCCTAGGAGGCGTCAATTGCGAAACTATTCCACACTCCTTGAGATAATCGTGGAATTCAAGACTTAGGTACTCTCCTCCTCGATCGGATCGAAGCATCTTGATTTTCCTGCCCAATTGATTCTCCACTTCATTCTTGAACTCTTTGAACTTTTCAAAGGTTTCTGACTTTTGCTTGATTAAATAGATATACCCATATCTACTATAATCATCGGTAAAAGTCACATAGAAGCGGTTCCCATCCTTCGTGGTTGATCTAAAGGGTCCACATACATCGGTATGTATTAGGTCCAATAGCCCCTCACCCCTTTCACAAGTATTTGTGAAGGGTGACTTAGTCATCTTTCCAAGTAAACAAGACTCGCATGTGTCATCTTCCCTAAGGTCGAATGACTCCAACACTCCATCCTTTTGGAGTTGGGCTATGCGTTTCTTGTTGACATGTCCAAGACGGCAATGCCACAAGGATGCTTTATCCATACTAGTGGAAGAATCAATATTCAAAACATCATTTCCTAAGTTATCAACAATCATAACAGTTTCATATATTCCATTACATGGTATAGCTTCAAAGTAAAAGACACTATTTAGATAAGCCATAATAGAACCATTCTCATTATTAAAAGAAAATCTAAATCCTTGTCTATATAAACCATGAAATGAAATGATGTTTCTAGCCATTTCTGGCGAATAGCAACAATTGTTCAAATCTAAACATAAATTATTCCTAAGCACTAAAGAATACACTCCAATCTTGGTAACAGGCGACGATCTTCTGTTCCCCATGATTAGATTGATCCTTCCTTGCTCCACATCCCTACTTCTTCTTAGTCCCTGCACATTTGAACAAATGTGATAACC